TACAGCCATGTTTTATATACAGAGCAGTTTGTAAAACAGTAAGTAAAGTAGGCTATATAGAGTAAAGGTGTCAAGTGATCAGCTTTTTCATTGGATAAATTGTTAACATTTATTTATTAAATTGATTATGACATAATTAATGACATGACATGATGTATCCTTTAATTGTAATACCGTTAACTGACAATAACGTTAACCAGTTCACTGACAACAACGTAGTAGCTAAATTAGGCTAACTTTAGCAGGGCTTTGGTATAATTCACAGTATGAAATCTTACCTCAAATAGTTTTGGTGTCCGTTCTTTCTTCGTATAGACTAACCTATGTAGTCCCAGTACGAGCTAATCGATGTCCACGAATATGAGCAGCAAGCTACTTAGTAGGAAGATAAACAGATAAACTGACGTCTGATCTACACCTTACAGCTGACACAAAACTCACCGGCCACTGTCAGCTGTTTACGCATGCGCGTACCAACAAACCAATCGAACTTCCGTACAGATATTTCAGAATAAAAGCGGCACTAATAAACAAGAGTGCAGCACTGAAACAGGCGTGGAGGGAGAGACGAAGAGAAACATTTGTACATATAAACAGGGGTGCACATAACTGGTACGCAGGTACGCATGCGCGGCACAAATCTGAATTGCGTAACGTCACTTGTGTCACTACGCGCCTTTGCGTACCTCAAAACATCAAAACAAAACACATATTTCGTCTACACGTGTTTCTTGTCAACACTCAATGGAGTAAACTACTAGGCATGTCAAAAAACCCAAAGACATTAAGCAGCTACGTTGCCGTTTCGCTCCCTGCAAAAAATCTTTCTATGACTGATTGAACTGGAGCTGGGTGAGCCGCGCAGGACATAACCGACGGACCTGTGAAGCTTTCCAGGAGGCAGAGGCTTAGATCACTGGACGACAGAGTTGGTCGCCGTGTGCACAGACAGGGTTAACGTCGGTATAAACAACAGAATTGTGCCAAAAGTCCGCCAACTGGCTGCGGTGGGAGACTCCCCTGTGCACATTCTGTGCCCCGCGCACACACTGGAGAACTGCGCAAAATCATCTGATCACAACGTTCACGCTCTGTGGTAAAGCTGCTGCAGTTTTATTTACACCAAAGTGGAGTGAAACACACAGCTGCAAACTTACTCAGGGTGTTATGGAAGAGTTTGAAATCAGACAGAGGTGGAAGAAGTACTCAGATCTTGTGTAGGAATACTCTGTTACAGTAAAAGTCCTGCATTCAAAATGTTACTCAAGTAAAATTAGAAAAGTATTATCAAAATATAGTGAAAGTAGCGACAGTAAAAGTATTCATTGTGCAGATTGGTCCATTTCAGAATAATATATATGATATGTTTTATAATGATTGATCATGAAAGTGTTCTCAAAGCTGGTAAAGGAGCAGCTAGTTTGAATGACTTTGTATACTGCAGGGTAGCTTGTGGATTTACTCCAGGTGGAACTAAAGTCTGATTTAACACTTGATTAGATTTCACATCATTCATCCACATCTGTAAAGTAACTAAAGGTATTAAATACATGTAGTGGAGTAAAAGTAGAAGTACAAAGTAGCATAACATAGAAATACTCAAGTCAACTACAAGTATCTCAAAATTGTACTTGAGTAAATAAGTGTGCTTTGTTACTTCCCACATTTGAAATCAGATATGACTTCAAGTCATGTGATCATTTCTTAGTATTTGATCCTTCAACTTGGCCTCAGGAAATGCAAGGACTTCACAGTTTTGGCAACAAGTTTTGGAGAAAGCAAATCGGAGGCTTAAAAAGAGACAGGGAGGTGCATCTTCATCATCTTCATCATCTAGCATGCAAGAAGTGTAAATTGAGGACAGTGAAGGAGACACTGAGGAGGACCACGCTTCGTGTGGGGTGAGTACCAAACGCTGTCTCTTGGTACTCATCTGAGTAACTCACTAAAAAAGTTATGTGCACCCCTGCATATAAATATTTATGAGACCTCTTTTGACTGCTGTCAAGATGGTGTGATGTGAAAACTGGGACTAAAAAGGACTAGAGAGAGAGAGAGAGAGAGAGAGAGAGAGAGAGAGAGAGAGAGAGAGAGAGAGAGAGAGAGAGAGGAGAGAGATAGAGAAGAGAGAGAAGAGCGCTAGCAGAGAGTAGATTCGCATCTATACGAGATATAAGAGATTATAGCGATATCTCTCTCTCTCTCTCGCTCCTCGATATCTCCTCTCTCTTCTTGCTCTGCACTTCTCGCTCTCTCTCAGCTCCTCTACTCTTTTGTCCATATTGTTCACCCTGACATTCATGCCAATAAGCATATTGAATTGAATTGAATTTAAATTGAATTGAATTTAAGATGAAGAGAGAAGAATGTTTATCACCCATTACGTCACCTTTCATCCACTAGGTGCTGCTCAATGTGCACCTCGTTAGGTCAAAAACAACAATACTGAAATATAATCTTATAAAAAACGAAATATAGGAACCTCGCTGTCTTTGCAGATGTGGATACGGTATAGCCAATAATAACGCTTCTCCTTTAGCTCTGTGAGTGATAACCGAACAATGTGATAACCAGAGAATTTCCACAGAGCAATGTCCAAGACAAAATCTTGCACATCCGCACTAGTCAAAGTTCACTTTATGCAATAAACCGTCTATGGAGAGAATCACTTCAACATAGCATTATGTGCAAGGAATTTCTTGGTGGTCAAAGCATAAGTTCAGTGTGTCTGGGTTTGCTCTTAGTGTAGTTTGAAAGAAAAAGTGTCCACAAAATGTCTTTAAAAGTCTGTCTGGACGAGTGGGAATGCCTGGAAGAAGACCATAAGCAACTTCAGGTAAGAAAATTACAAATATAAGTTTAAAGTATCAGATTATTCACACAGAGCCGCCGTTTAAATCATGATTTACATATGTTTGCCTCCTGTTGTGTTACTCAAACCACATGAGCAATGTGGTTTCTTCTTTTCCAGGAGACACACAGAATGTACCTACAAAAACTGGATGAACTTTCCAAACTACAAAAAAACTGCTCGTCCTCCATTTCCAGTCAGCGCAGAAGGCTGAAGGAGGTATCCTCCCTGGTGAAAAGGTAAGTTTACACACACACAAACACATCTGTATGGTCACAGATTTATGGTGACGGATACAGATAAGTACAACCGCTCGAACACACACAGTATACACAAATGTGTTGAGTCAATGTAACAGACCTGGCAATCATATATCACTTATATCATCCATCAGATGCAGCAAAGGACCATCAGAAGAAGATGCAAAGCCCTTGAATGAAATAAAGGAGAAGATAAAGACGCGACCAAATGCTTTCTCTGAAATGGAAGCATTCCTTCCCAATAAAAACGGGTGGATTTCTTTTTTAAAACACAAGTTGAACTCATTGCTATGATTGATATTCATAACTGTAAAAACATATCAATTGCATTTATTACCTTAATGTACATTTACACTCGAAAAATAATATGATATTTTCATATTTCAGATTGTACCTCAGTCTGGTTCTTGGAAATGTGAATGTCACTCTTCTCAGCAAGCAGTCAAAGTAAGAAACACATTGCTAAGCCGAAATATTCCTTATTTCCCAAAATCCATGACACATTTCATTAGTTATATTATATGTTGAGGTCTGAATTTGTCTTATCTTCGTCAGATTTGCCTACAAAGATGAATACGAGAAGTTCAAGCTGTACCTCACAGTCATCCTGCTGCTGTTCTCCTTTGTATGCTATTTCTTTGTGAGCTACAGGTAAATATTAGCATGTTCTGCTGCCTTGTCAGTAACCATGAGTTTATTATACGGACAATGCATGTACCTCATATCTAAATCAATTCGTTGTCTGTTGTCCCCGACTTTAGATTCCTTGATGCAATCCTCAATTTCGTGCTGGTTTGGTACTATTGTACATTAACCATCAGGGAAAGTATCCTCATCACCAACGGCTCCAGGTGAGTCCTAGCACCCCTACAACCATCTACAAAAAATAATGACTAATTTTTCATGAATAAAACATATTGGCAGCTCTCTGACCTTTTAACTTTAATTATAGCAACTCATCATATTTGTGGTGATTAAGTAAAGTACTGAAGTAAAACAGAAAAATGTAAACAACAAAATATATAATACAATGCATCTTGCATCACAGAATTAAAGGCTGGTGGGTTTTTCACCACTACATCTCAGCTTTTTTGTCGGGTGTAATGCTAACATGGTGAGTATGTCATACCTTTCTTATTCAATGTTGGACATCCTTTTGTTGTGTGTATATTGCAAAAACCTTTATACTCGGTTTCCATTGCATTCATTTACACATTGTCTAAATGCTTTTGATGTTTTATAGCTGTATTGCCTGGTTGTTGAAATGTGTTACAAATACCTTTTGTAGGTAAATAAAATAAAAAAACAGCCTAATTACCACATTGTGAAAATGCCCCCCACGCTTTTTGCATTGTATTACTGTTTTTTTTCTACGTAATTACTTATTTTTCTATTTTCCACCAAGGCCAGAAGGGGACTTGTACAAGACATTCAGGAACCAGTTCCTTGCCTACTCCTTGTATCAAAGTAAGGTCTACCTACTTGAAATACATTTATAATTAAAAAATAAATAAATAAAAGACTGACTCATTTCATTTGTGACTTACAGGTTTTGTCCAGTGTCTACAGTGCTACTATCAGAGCGGATGTCTCTATAGGCTAAGAGCTCTGGGAGAAAGACACAACATGGATCTGACCGTCGGTGAGGGACACTGTAACAGGCCAAGGACACAATACACTCAGCGAAGCACATCATACTTTAATATTGATGATGCTTCCCCAGGCATGTCCGGGGCTGCTTATTGTCACTGCTGTAATAAACAGATGTGGAAATAAAATGCATTAGCAATTTAAACTCTTCTGCTTTCTGTTTTCAGAGGGATTTCAATCTTGGATGTGGAAAGGGCTGACGTTTCTGTTGCCCTTCCTCTTTTTTGGTCATGTGAGTATACAGTCTTGGACACTGAGATGATTCACAACTGAGCTTAAGCTTAACAAATTATGCTTTGTCATGGCTGGATAAAAAAATCTGATGGAAAATGCTGATGTCATTCTAGACTTAGGCACAATTTGGGACAATGTTTAGGATGATGGTTATCTGAATAACAGCTTAAGCTTTAGCGTGTCTGTGTTTGTACAGCTGCAAATCAATTCATTCACTTTTTACAAGACAAATCCTGAAGTCCTCGTGTTTTGTCTTGTAGTTCTGGCAGCTCTTCAATAGCCTCTCTCTCTTCCGAATGGCGCAGCTCCCAGACTGTAAAGAATGGCAGGTCAGTACTCACCTATTCTCATTTTATACCTGCTTTTATAAGTGCTTATAAAAGCAGATTTGCGAGGCATTCATCCATCATCTAAACTGCATGAACTGATTTTATGTTATTATCGACATGGCATGTTATAATTTAGTCGAAGATGCCTACTATAAATGAGCTTCTTCTTCACCTGTTCCACATTCATAAAATAAGAAAAATGATGATGAATTAAATATTTTGTGCTTACTCATGTATTCATCTCTTAATGCCAGGTCATGGTGTGTGGTCTCTGCTTCCTCATTTTGTTCATGGGAAACTTCTTCACCACTGTTGCTGTGGTCCGTCACAAGGTCAAGAGCAGGAATCAGAAAACTAAGAGTCTGTGATACATGCTGTAATAGGAAAAACATGTCTACAAATGCGGTCTCCGTATGTAAAGCTCACATTGTCATTATTGCTTTCATTAACATTATCTGCGAATACGTTGTGTCTTATCAATACTTATTAAAGGTCAATTATGCTCCACAATGTCCTTTACTTTGCATAGTTAGTCAAATCACTCTCATAGCAAAAGCCAAACCAATAAAGCATTTATTCCACCCACATGTGTCTGAATATGTTTGATTGCAGCTTTTTGTTCTCTTTCCTGCCTAGATATGGTTCATTTAAAATTGGGCATGTTAAAGATGAGTTACCGTAGAGGGTTTTAAAAAAGTACATCTTATTCTATCTCATTAGGTTTCATTTGCCTTTTCTTCTCCCTGTGTTGTAATACAACATATTTCTTGATAAAGTAATTAAAATAAGCTCCATCTCCGCCTGCTACAACTTAAAAAAATATATAATAAAATCACCAATGATAAATATAACACTAACTGACTGGCAGTGGTTTGAAAAATATTTAAATTATTTTGTAAATGTAAGTAGCCCTGCACAGTGTATTGTCTACCAAAGCAAATGTGTGGAAACCTACAATATACCTTATTCAGATTCAGATTTTGGGGTTCGTGTTCACAACATTTGCATGCACTTTTAAATGCATGACTTTAATATAAAATGTATTGTACTTTTATTTAAGGAAATAATATGAATAGGCTAGTTAATAGCCTAATTTGCGCATGTATGCAGGCGGGATACTCACTGGTTGTTGGAGTATTTAACCAGTGTCCTTGGCATTGTTAACAACAACAACCTTTAAATTGAGGAGGATACTTTTGATACTTTTCCAGTCTGAGGTGCCTGGTTGGATTATATAACCCTGACCCTTACCCTGCTGCACCTCGACTGTCATTTATTTTAGCACGTAATGTTGGATGTTAGGTAATGTCGATGTGGACTGACCCAAATTGAAACACGTGTTCGCTGAAATAAAAATAAATAAACAAGCTAATTTACAACAGATAGTTTATACAGAAACATATATTAAAAATGTAAATGAGAATATCTTTTCGACACATCAAACTATCTCGTAATTATATGTATATGGAGTTTAAAGTGCAAGAGTCCACCCCCGCTGCCAGAGTGGAGTTGGTTTGATCCTACAACGCGTAAAGTTTCCTTCCGTGAGCCTGACACAAAGAGGGGAGCGAAGGTAAGCACATCACCAAATGCACATTTTACACTGTATTACATCGACCTGTAGTCTGTGGCAGTCTACGAGAAGTACACGTCAGCGATAATAGATTGGTACTGAAAATAGAAATCGATCATATAGCTAATATTTGTCAGTTAAACATTGGCTAAAGTGTAGTGCTGACTTCGGTGTGATAGGCAAACTGTGGCTAACTTCTGTGAAGCATGTCGTTTCTTTGGCATGTATAGGTTAAAATACGAGGGCTTTACATATCAAATACAAAGGTTCTGTCCCTAAATGAAGCTGTGTTTTGTCTGTATTTTATTATGTACAGTATGTGTTTCTATTCGCGATCCAGTGAATAGCCGGGGCCCTGAGACCTCTCCTACTGTCTGTCTTCTTGGTTACTTCTCGTATTATTTAACCGCTAGCGTTACCGGTATTTGCTAAATGGGGTAACATCAGATTTTGCGCCATTAACATACATCAAACCTGTTTCTAACGTTACACTTGTAAGTTTAAAACACGCTGACGGAAACCGCTGCCACAACTTTGAGAGTTACCTAACTGTTTGCTTTAATCCGAAGAGGTGAACTGTCAGAATGAACTCTCGTAAACCTGGTCCATATCCAGTGGTGTAAAGTAGTGCTGTGAAGTAAATAAGTAGATTTACCCAAGTACTATACTTAAGTACAATTTGAGATACTTGTACTTTACTTTACTATTTCAATTTCTTACTACTACTGCCCCACTACAATTCACAACAAAGTAATTAAAACTAGCTGCACCTTTACCAGCTTGATGCATCAATAATTATAATCAAAACATATCATTATTATGAAGTGGGGCAATCTGCATAATGATTACTTTTACTTTTGGTACTTTAAGTATATATTGATGCTAATACTTCAACTTAAATAACCTTTTGATTGCAGGACGTTTACTTGATCTGAGTACTTTTCCACCTCTGTCCATGTCTGATTTCATTGATCATTCAACGCCCCCGGTGGAAAACTATTAAAGCTTCTTTCACTTGGATTTATTGGTGACTAACCAAAGTCTCACATGATTTTGACCACAGCATATCTTGTATCTGTCATACTGTATAGTGAGTGATTCTTCCCGAGGGGCCATGGCTAAAGAAATACAGGGGCACCAGCACAAAGATAGTTTTATAATATTTAGGGCAGCGCACTTTCGAGTGAATTAATCACATTTTATAAATGTAACAGCCACCCTTAGTGCAGTGCATCTTGTTTTTAACTGAAAGAGTGACCTTGCATGACAGCTCAGTTCTTGCACATCATGCAGATGTTTACATCGGGTCTTACAATATCGTTACATCATAATGTTAGGAATTGTGTTTTAAAGTCGGACATTTGACTTTCCTGCATCGAGACATACGTTTTCAAAGCCCCTTATGCACAGTAATGTGTGTGTTTGTCTAGATTGTGGCTTTCCCTGTTTGAATAGGGAAACTGGTTTTCCTCATCTAGAATAATCACTTTTTTAACGGACTGATTACAAAGTTAGGTGTGGTCCAAACTCTGTCTTGCAGCACCAATGCTGTAAAGTAGGAGAAGAACACCTGAAATTGTTGTATTTTTTGGTCAGTCTTTTAACCAACATATATTGTGTATCATATTTAGCTAAAACAAACTGGGATTAGATGTTTTAACCATATTGCATAGCCTTAATGACACAGGATAAAGTTGAAAACAGGAGCTCTGGTGTTTCTCGGTTTGTCTGCTAATGAACCCAGCTGGGAGTTCACTGAAAAGGTTAGTTGGCATGGACACAATTGTGCAACAGTTCACACTGATACTGTGTGGTTGATGTTTGAGGCTTTATATATACAGTCTATGGTTTGAGGTCATTACGTTATCTTTTGAATGACCAGACTTAAACTATTAATATTGCAACAATACTTGTTCTATCCTCATTGATAACTATTTACGGTACTGTAAAGCAGCTGGGAACGCTTCCTTTGCTAAGCATTGCCACAGACTGTGATTGGTTTTAAAGAAATTCAAACAAGCCAGTGTGTTTTTTCCCCATTTCTAATGATAACGGGTGAATCAAGACCTTTATGCAGTGCTGATACTCGGCTCTGCAGATATGTCTGGCTATGATAGACTACTTTTATTATAGAGAATGTTTCGCTTTGCGATTTGATAATTGCATTATTTCAAATCGCGATTGTCAGTGAGTCAGAAGTCCAATTGTGAGAAGTTAGGGCTCCTGTTGAGTGCGTGTGCTGTTTCATTCAAATGGTTTGCTAGTTGGGGACAAGCCATTCAGATCTCATTGTTTTCACTCCTTGAACCACATGGAAACTTGAGAGCTCAGGGCACGTTGTTCTTCCAGTGTGAAAAAAGCTGCCGTTGTTAAAGTACAATAAGACATTCCTCATATTTCTGAATCAGTGGGTCTTTACGTCGTACTAGTTGGAGCCAATTGTCTAATAATGCTTGCAAAAAAGCCATCATTGTATGGCATGACATGTGTAATACTGCTCGCTCACATGTGTTTGCAATCATGTTGTTCTGTGCAGCATTTTAACCCAATTATTGCCAGACTCCAGTTTTGTTGAGTTGGAATGTTTTAGGCTACAGAACTGACACTCATTATAAAATGCAGATTCAATAAAAGGTCAATTTAAAAAAAAAAGAAAAAGGTCTTCAAGCTGCTTATTTATTTAAAAAAATGATGGTTAATGATACACATTTGAATATCTTTTTCTGCAGTAAGTAATTGTATAACTGTTTGGTACTATTTACTTTTTGTATTGACTATACTTGTTCTAACACCGTTTTTCTTTGCCTATATGCAGCGTGTCAACATGGCAGACATGGACGCTGATACTGCTGCTCACACCGAGCCTTCGGTGGAGGAAGAGGAGCCTTTTTTCAGCAACCTGGACCTCCTCCTCTTCTCCCTGATTGTTGGTATTGTTGTTTATTGGTACATGTCCCGCAAGAAGCCTGAGCCCATCCCCGAATTCAAGAAGCTCGACACACCGTGAGTACCCATCACAATATATATAACAGATTTCTTTATTTTCTTAAAGAGTTTGTGGTATGAGTGTTTCTTTATTTGTATTTGGATCTGACTACAACTTTAAAGTGGACCTATCATGCTATATTATAATAATATAGTGTAGGACCATACCTATATAAGGCATATTTATCCTTTTTTTTTTTCAAAATACCAAACAGATCATGCATTTTAGCCATGCCTCATTTCGCTCAATTTGACATTTTTTAGATCTGTTTTAGCAAGGGTTGATTCTGTGAGCAACAGCACCATCTAGAGGCCTGGCATATGTACTACAGCGTCTCCAGCGCTTTCGAACGCAATGCCGTGGTTGTCTCCTCCTGATTGGTGGAGTTGGCCCAATAGCCGTAGCGCCACTGTCCTGACGTCAGGAAAGTGTTCAAATCTGGATCAGTTTGTATCAGATCCGTTGCAGCCCCTTTTTTTAGAGATTTGGGTATGGAGGAAAATAGAGAGGGTTGTGTTTTCTGACACTTGGTGAGTTCCCTGGAACACCGGGGGCACATATTCATGTATAAAAGACGTACAAAAGTGCATTTTGCATGATAGGTCCCCTTTAAGATAAATAAATAAATAAGGATGCTTCTTATTCTTATGCTTGACAATCACCTTCCCTGAATTTGACTCAGGTGTAACTAAAGTCTGATTTAAGGGTTGTTTATATTTCACATCATTAATCAGAAGTAACTAAAATAAATGTAGTGGAGTAAAAATACCAGGTTAACCTCTGAATTGTAGTGGAGTAGAACAAAGTAGTATGCTGCTGTAACAAAAACATTTCCCAACTTGGGATCAATAAAGTATATCTTATCTTATCTTAAGATGATCGATGGCTACTGCCATATTTGCAAAGTGTGCCTCTGAACCTTGACAAGTGCATGTTTCAGGCTTATCAATGAACAACAGGAGGGGTCACAGACATAAGACCAGCTGTTAAAGCTCTTCTGACCTTAGCTGTCATGTGGATATATTAATTCACCCATTTATTAATTATATGTTTTAAATTTGATAACACCAATGTCTTTCGTATCCTCTAAACCTCCAGGGTGTTCACAGTTTAATACTGGCAACTTCTAATTGTGGGAAATACGAAAACGTCTTTTAAAACTACAATTCCCAGTAGAGACGTGCCATAGAACATGTTGCGAAACACACAATAGCCAGCATGTGTAGTTCTGGGGGGGAGGGCTGGGCTGGACCCGTCCAAGTCCAGTTTTGGATAGTCTGTCGTGGTTCCATTCCATTTCAAAGAGCTGTTTGACGCTCGGCGTAACCTTGTCGCACTGCCACTCCAACATCCAATCACAGAGCTTGAGGACTAATCACGGGGTTTGTAAAGCAAGGCGGATGTTGTAGTCCCAAACGATAGCTGGGGATTCTGGGTAGTGTAGTGTCTTCGGAAACTCTGTAGTGTCTAAACTCCGAAAAAACTATTTGTTTCTCCGAATCGAAGGTTAAAAACACAAAAGCATTGTACACAATTTAAACCAATCAATGTTGTGTAATTAACAAGGATAAACTGATGTTTTTTAGTGGATGAGTAATGCAGATATCACTGTGTAATCATTTGACAGTGAGGGGAATACTTCTGGTTTTATTATGAAAACTTCGAGACCGGAAAAACTGTTTTCACCCTGTGAGGGTTGACGCTAACTTGACATGGAAGCTGCCGCTATACACGCTCTCCTGGCGAGACCTCAAATCATCTTCGTAATATCTATCAAAACTATAAATCCTACACATCCACTGGACGTAGATTACAAAAGTACAATATACACTTCTCGCTAGAAATCTAATCAAAAAGCATTTTAATGGCTAAACTATTCCACAATTTAGGATTTTCCAGAGAGTGTTATTTGTGAATAAACGACCCTCCGGAGCGTTTGCAATCAACGGGAGCATGTTGTTTCTTACACGACCACTAGAGGTGCTACACTTTAAAACGTGACTCTGGGTCGTATTAAGCTGCTGAACAATCAACCTATTTGGTCGTTTTTTGTAGGAGGACAGGCTGGTTTTTTCTTCTGACATGAGAAGGCGTATTTACCTCAACCAATCTGATGGAAGCAAATGTGATTACATTTCTTTCTTTTTTTCTTTTGTACATTGGTTTTAAATGTGTTCCTGGAGAGTGAAATATAACAATTATACAAGATGATTGCAAACTGCTTGAATATTGCGACAGGCCTTTGAGTCATTACTTATGATGGAGGCTTGGCAACATTTCAGAGGACTCCCCTTCCACTGTTTAAGTTCCTCCCCACCCACAACACAATTTCTTTGTTAACCATAGTGAAGCCAGCCGCAGCAGCAGCCTCACTTGCTATGTAGCTGAGATGGTGCGTGGTTATTTGAATGGAGACAGTGTTGGAGGTTGAGCAGGGGAGATCCTGACCATTTGTATGATAGCAGGAGATTGGCTTGAAAGTGGGAAAGACCCCTGTAGCGCACGTTTTGCTTTGGAAAGTGTCTGCATCTGTGGAGGGCTAGAATACAGGAAGGGAACATAAGAGCAGTTCTCCCCTCCCCTTAAAGGGAGCAGTGATTACCTAACTGTTATGAAGGGGGCGTAGTCTTCCATGTCTTCCTGTGCTTTTGTTTTTGGCCCTGAAACCATTTTGAAAGTTCCCTGGAGAGCAAAATGGGAAGGCAAGCCAAGCTGCTTTTGTGAGTCCTCTCCAAAGGTGGAAAGTTGAGGCAAAAGACAAGCAACCCTTTCTTTACCCTCAGTTACTTTTTTTCATTCTTTCCCCACTCCCCTGTTTTTCTTTTTAGTGTGTGTGGGCTGAGCTGCTCTGCCATTGGAGAAAGGCCATGTCACAAATGGAATCCTTTTATGATAAATGAGGTTACTATAGCAATGACATTCCCCTCTCTCCTCCAGTGAGATGGGGGCGGGGGATACTTCAGTAAAAAAAAAACTACCATTCACAGCTCTTTCCCACCTCCTTCAGTGATCCACTGAGGAGTTGCTTCGATAACTAGCTCAAGCTCAGAATGGATCTTGTAGACCTCTTCGTTCCCAACACCTTTCAGACTGCAGAGGAAAAGGGGCGGGGATGAGAAGGAAGGCATTTTCAGTTTGAGAATGCTTCAGTGTGTGTTTGTGTGAGTCAAAAGTGTGGGTCCGCAGCTCTGCTTCATTTTATGGGAAAGTCAGTTTCCCACCATTGTGTCCTCAGCGGTTGCCAGACACTGACAGGGCTGGTAGGCTGTGTGTGTGTGTGTGTGTGTGTGTGTGTTAGTGGAGAACAGACGCTGCTGGTTTCAGAGAGCAGCACAGGAAGAGGCAGAGTTCAGATCGTGTTGGAGGTGAAGGAAGGCAGCTCTTCCAGAACTGTTCGACTGCCTTTCTGACCTGGTTTTATTTTTCCATTCTGTGGTTGTGGAGTGTTGACGTCCTGCTTTTGATTTTGAGCGTGGCGGTTCCCGGCGTGGTCTAGCCAGAGCTGCTATTGGCAGTGGCTGCATGCCATGGGCTGTGTCTTCTCCCTGCCAGAGGACAGGAGAGATGCTGCTGAGAGGTCAGTAAAGTGTTTGATTTATTGCACCTTCTAAGGCACATTTGGAGTGGTTTTGTTTTTACAATACTTGCTTGAATTTCTCCTAATGATTTGACATTAGCTACTGTTTCATTTGACTGTTTAGTTTGACAGGACAGTTCACACGTGGGCTGGTATGTTTTTCATTGAAGACTTGTAAGCAACTTGTAATAGTTCCAATTGTGGCCATTTTCTAGAGCTTCAACAGTTACTTGATTCCTCAATTAGTTGAATCACAACCAAAAGATTTCATGTAGATGGCAGACATTATGTTTTCAGTTCTTTAAATATGGAGACTCCCTGCTTTATCTCTGTTTTGTTACCAATAAACTGAATATGTGGTTTTAAAACAGAAAAAAACAGGCATGTAGTGACATCAACTTGGACATCTATGAAACTGAGTTGGACATTTTTCACTATTTCCTGTTATTTAATAGATTAATCTAAAATATTATCAGCAGATGATGAAAATAACCGTTAAGCTGTACATGTTTCCAAATGTTGCTCGACACAGAGTGTAACTCCCTTGTTCCAGTAGTGTGTAAAAGCTGGTGAAATGTTTGACTGCAAATACAATTTGATTAATTTAATTTGATTATGACCCCTCCCCCCCTTTTCACAACACTATTAAGTATGTTACCATCTTAGCGACCATTGTGTTGCACATTTAAAAAACGTTTTCTTTTGGTTTTTAGCTATAGGTCAGATTACAAAATGAAAACCATATCATTACAGCCTTACCTCCAAGTTTTAACGTGTTGCAGATTAAGACTGAAATGATTCAGTGTGCCTATTTAAAAGGTTTCATTTCTGATTGACTGGAAAGTTACTTCTCTGACATTATAAACAGATGATAAGCTCTGAACTATTTGGACTAAATTGGAAATTGTTCAAACAATGACTGAACGCCAGCATGCATGAGGTTGTTTTTATGTGGGACTCGAGGCATTGCAGGAAGGAAAAGGACACGTGTTTGTTATCAGAGTCAAACCGGCAGTTTAAGCAAATTATTTGTTCCTGATCTAAAACCATTATTTTGTTTGTTGACTTGAAAACATTTTACTCAATTTCAGGCTCAGCTAGTAGTTGCACAAATGTAATGATCTGTTGTCAACAATGATTTGTTTCATTTTGGTTTTTTAAGACTTTGTAGTCTCCCAAAAAACTAATGCTATCCAGCTTTTTTTATTGAATGGGGTGGGGAAGATAAAAACACAATTTCTGAACAGGAACTGTTTCATGATTTTATTGATCCATCATCACGAAATGACTTTGAGCTAATTAAATGAATAGCAATTGTATTTACAGTTATACAGAATAAATCAACGGGATACATTTTGTTTTATGTTTAATTTACAACCTGCTTAGGATACTTTCGTGGTTGTTGCCACAGCATACAGAACTAATGATTCTGTAATCTCATCTCTTGATTTTATAATGATGCACAGAAAATCCTCCCCCGCTGAGTGCCTGTGAGGCCGCAGACGGTCAAAGGCTTGTTTCAAATTTGATCAGGAATTTACACTTTGCTTCAGGGTTCAATCAGTTTTAACCACAGGGGCCCATTTTTATGGCATGTCGGGCATCTGTCCAACATGCCTGCCCTCTGCACACGGCTGTTCAGTGGATAGGTTCTGTAAATTGTTTGACTTAATGTGTGTTAAAGGTCAAATGTAGCAAATGAAACTGCTTTTATGGCTATCCTACTGCTTTGTTGCTTTTGGAGATGGTAAATCTGAAAACAAATTCATCTGGCATACTTGTAGTTATGTGTAGCGGGCAGAATTGCAGCTGTCTACTTAAACCTTTGATGCTGAATGAAGCGGCGTTGCTCTTTTATTTGGCTTGATAATAGATTTAGCTTCCTCTCTCCCTCTCTTATTTGCACCGTGTTTGCAGATGTTGTTTTGATCTGTTCTCGTCCATTAATTACCTGAATGAATCTTATTCAAGATTTTGAATTACCATAAGGTGTTACCTGTAGTTAATATACGTCAGCCGCTTTGTAAGCTGTATGCTTAGTACATGATATTCATACATTTAGTGTGACTAATGCTCGCATGGCTGCTGAGTCACTGCTGAGTCACTGCTCTGTTATTCCTTGTTATTGTAAGAATAACATGAATAATGAACAGACAAATTACCCACATTGCCTAAGAGCTGGGGCTAAGAATTTACTGCCAATTATTTAAATCGTTACTTGCCTAACTTGCCTAACTTGCCAGTATGGCCAAATAATTACATATGACAATGTGGGAAAGGAATGAACGAATGCATGCGTTAATCATTGATGGAGTACCCTTTGTATTACCCTTACTTTCCTCTCTGAACCTAAAGTGCTCCAATGTTTACTATTTGTTTGAAAGTACACTCTGCGAAGAAAAAAAAAGAGCACAACCACAACACAGAACCTGCTGTCCCTCAAATGTTTGGACTGATGGTCATTCTTTAACAGACTGACACTAGGTAACAGTTAAATGTACATTTTAAATGACTTGTATTGCTGTTTGTTTACACGAATGATGTTAGTAAACAAAGACGGGCCTATATTTACACTTGTGATCTTGTGAGATCATTCAAAAGTCACATTCTTCAGTGTTTTGTAAATTCAAATTCAATTGATTAATATTATAGAGTACTGTATTGCTGTTCTGGCCAAAGGGAGGATGATCTTAAGTGTTTTATGAGGAAAGGTCATTGGTTAATACTTACTTTTTTATCGCAGTATCATGGTTAAAAACAGGTTGTGTTCAATTATATAACATTATGACAATTCAAACTTATTTCTTCCCAGAGCACCCGCCGCAAGAGAGACAAGTTTCATCGAGAAAATGAAGAAAACCGTGAGTGATTTTCCTGAATGTTTCCCATCATTTCTGCTTTAAAAGAAACCCTTAGGACCTGGAGATGTTCAATGTTGAACAGTGTTTGTGTTTAGTTATATTTTGAATTGTAGCGTATCACTACATTTTTCCTCCTTTTCTTCGATGGATTGATGGGCTGAATAATATGATGAGGATAATGGCTTTTCATTTTAAAAACACTGCTTTGACTTCCCTCTTTTTTCAAGCCAGCCTTGAGAAAATACTTTGCTTTTGAATCATGTGGTTTGCTGCAAGTAGTTTAAATACCATAATGGTGGCAGAAAAGAATTTTGGTTCAGAGTGCCATTTAATTTAGTCTCTGTTTCTCTTTTGTTATGAATCATCATGGCAACACTGTCGACAGGGATAAAAATATGTCAGATTTCAACAATGCATGCAGATGGAGCTGTCTGTGTTCAAATAAGCTTCATGTTAGAGAAGTTATTCTTGTTTAGTTTGGACTGAAAATGAAGTTATGTGAAGTTATTTATTCATATGTTGCACTTTTTTTCTTCCTGTCACATATAGAAGTACTCTAGTTAGCAAAGCAGCACTTCAGGATTTGTGGGAAAATGCTTTTTAGAATATATTTTAGGTAAATCCCAAAATGTATACAGCTAAGACGACAGACAGGAAAGATGTGTCAGCTTTATACAATAGTCGTGGGTGAAAGCTAATTTATGCCCCGAGTTCATGCTTTTCTGTCGATGTGTAACCAGGGAAAGAACATCATCGTGTTCTACGGCTCCCAGACGGGCACAGGAGAGGAATTTGCAAACAGACTGTCGAAAGACGCTCAGCGCTACGGCATGAAAGGAATGGCTGCCGATCCAGAGGAGTATGAAATGGTAATCAGAGAAACAACATACAAACCTAAAATTACCAAAAATCTTACTTGATCATTATATCTGCAAGATCATTATGTGTAATTGTCACTGCAGTTCTGAAGAAGTCAGTACAAGCCTAATTGGTTATAAACTCATTCTTCTGAATTGTCCTGACAGGAGATTTTATTCATTTAGATGATGATATGTTACACATCCAGTTGCAGATGGATCTTAACAGAGCCACATAACGTTGTATAGTATGTGCCAGATAATATGATCTCTTCTAACTATAAATTAACTCTGCTGAAATATAACATGTCCAGCGCTCAGATCATAATGCGTAAACTATTTTAAATAACTTGCAAGTTTACTGACAGTACAACTCTTCACATAGCCTTTCAGAAATGTAATGCAATAATAATAATAATAATAATAATAATACGTTTGTTTATTTATTATGGCACCTTTCACAGAAATAGATTTCACAAAGTGCTTCACAAGTAAGAACAAAAGTTCAAATGAAGACCACAGGAACATGAATACAATAACCACATGAGGCATAATTTAAGGTCAACATAAAAACAAAACACAGACCATGTGGAGTCCTGACAGGAACAGACATAATAACAGAACACATCACACACATTTCAAATGGAAACAAAGTTCCCTAAAATGATGAGCCCTTCAGTGCTCCCTGTTTCTGATTGTGATGTCTCTTATTCCAGGCGGAGCTGGCCCGTCTCTCTGAGATTGAAAACTCCCTCGCCATATTTTGCATGGCCACCTACGGCGAAGGAGACCCAACAGATAACGCCCAGGACTTCTACGACTGGCTGCAGGAAATTGATGATGAAGACCTCTCCGGACTAAACTACACAGTGAGTCGTTAATGATTACATCTTGTATTAAGCTTACAAGAACTGAGTGCTGGCTTAATTGTCATGAAAGGTCTAAACCAGGGGTGTCAAACTCAAGGCCCGGGGGCCAAATCCGGCCCGCGACTTCATTTTATGTGGCCCCACAAGAGCTTGCAAAGAATATAATATGTTTATTATACGGTTACATGCTACTTTACAGAAGCACGTTGCCCATAAACGACATGTCCCACAATGCATCTCAAATTTGACTTTTTCTCAGAATTTGACTTTTTGTCCAAATATGCCTTTTTTCTTAGAATTAGCCTTTTTCTCATAAATAGATTTTTTTTTCAAAATGTCACTTCTCTTTTTCAAAATGTCACAATCAATTTTTTTCCAGAATGTGGCTTTTCTTTTAAAATCATATTGTGACATTCTTACTGAAGAGACTTGCAATTATTTGCTCTAGACTTCTGCTTTCAGACGTAGTTAATTATGAAGTTATATTAATTAATGATATAGTCTTAAAGTTACAACCGGCCCTTTGAGTGCAACCATAATGCTGATGTGGCCCGTGATGAAATTGAGTTTGACACCCCTGGTCTAAACCATCTGCGACAGGCTTAATAAATCTATGTTATTGTTATCTTATCGCCATCTTGACTGTAACTGAGTGAAATTCATCTATTTTTTGGTTTGGAAAGGGAGCAATAATTTATTTATAACATGGAAATACATTATTTTGGTTAATACAATATTGGGAAACGATGAAAAAGTCCTAGAGCCGAATGTGCCAACCTCAAAACAAACATCCAAATAAAAAATATGAATGAACAGAAATGAAAGAGCAAGAGAAACAATTCATTCTCACATTTGAGGGACTGTTACACATTAATAGTTTAACAAAATAGTTGCTGATTAATGGTTTTATTGATCTACTAGCTGATTGTTGCAGCTGTGTAATCATGTATGATAAATGTATGTAATGTACCCAAACAACACCATTTTCAATGTGTATATTAAATGTATCATTTCTGTTTTGCTCTTTACAAAATGTGTTAAAATAATTACACATTTTCAAGTAAGATAAAGTTACTTGAAGTTTGAACGACTCGCTCATGGATGTGCCTCAGTCCGAAGAGGAACAAAATGAATATAAATAGATTTTTTTTCACTATTGCTGCTTCACAAACCCAATTCTATTTATTTTTCACGCTATGTCATTTTGCCTTGCGGTCTGATGTACCGCCCACAGGCTTCCCTAGCATGAGCTGCGTCGGTCTTTGTGTGCACCATGAAAGAAAGGCCTTTGTGTTGTCTAATCAGTGTGTGCGTGTGTGTCATTGTGTCAATGTTGGGGTGCAGAGCCTCTGACCCCATTTGAGTGAAAACTTGACTGTGGGAAATGTAGCTAAATTATTAGGCACAGTCGCGTCCTTCCGCCTGTTTTTCATCTATTGTCTCTAGGAGTGCCGTCACAATGTCATACTTTCCCTCCACAGTTAAACATTTGTACAGGTATTATGATATTATCGAGATATCTAGTAGAAAGCATTCTAAGTCAAATTCATGTTTTGTGGGAATGTAGAGAATGCTGGATTATTATCACATTTATACTTAACATAATATCAATATTAAAAAAAAAATCTGATATCACTGTTATCATTAATAATACTTATGTTTGTAGAATTGTTTATACTAATCGAGATGCATCAGTGTCTTCTAAGACATTTTTCAGTATGGCATGTTGTTTTTTTTTGTATTCTAGTAGAATAAATTACCCTACAATTAAACTGGATGTCACACTTAAACCAAACAGCAGTCAAACATCTACATTGGTTAATTATGACATTGTTTAAATTGTGAAGAACATCTTAAATGTACCCGGTTTCTGTCACGATTAATCGAAAGCCACTTAGTAATGATCTCTCTCTCTCTGTGTCTTGTTAAATCTTCAGGTATTTGCTTTGGGCAACAAGACATATGAACACTACAACGCAATGGGAAAATACGTTGACAAAAGGCTGGAAGAACTCGGGGCAAAGCGGATCTTTGACCTCGGTTTAGGGGACGATGATGGCAAGTAAGTGACCCGTTAATCCTCTGAGCCGAAAAGGAAATGATGACTAGACATTTCTCTCAGCATTGAGATGCTAAGTCAGCACAACAAGCTTGTGTGGACCACTATCAGTTTTCCTGTACAGTACATGATACGCAGTTTACACCTTATTTTTGCAAAGTTTCAAATCAACTTAACAAATGTATTCTCTGAAGAATTAACTTCTTTCATATTCATAACTGTGTGAAGCCACCCAGAGGCCAAACTGTCAACTTTAAAACAAATAGATTTCATTATTTAATAGATTTGAATTGACCCTAAAAATGTGAACGTTTACTTTTGCAAATTCATGCAAATATATATGGTTATTATTGTAATCTAACTTGTTGAACAAGGTTGGATTGAAATGTGTTTCTCTGCTGAGTGACCCTGTTTTCTATCTTTCAGTCTGGAAGAGGACTTTGTCTCCTGGAGAGAGCAGTTCTGGCCGTCTGTCTGCGAACACTTTGGAGTCGAAGCTTCAGGAGACGATTCAAGGTTATTTCACAGACAATTTCACCCTTTTTATTATTTATTATTTACATTGTTTGTCCCCATCGTTTTATATTCGCCTCATCTCCACCTAAACCCTTAATTTCCTATACTCACTCTTTACCCACTCTTCAGCATCTGAAAGCTGCTAACATTAAACAAATAATGACAGGGGAAAGCTTGCATTCACATTGTTCTTAGGTTAGTGATAATTAATATATTGTCTCTTCAGATGAAAGGTAGTTTCCACATCCTTTTAACTCTATTAAGATAGGACTGATATATTTCAGGTTGGCTGCGATTCCTTATCAAGAATTTTCACACAAATCTAATCTCAGATTAATGACACAAGGCGATCACCACAGAGTGATAACCAAATGTAACCTTTTGCACATAGGCTGAATTTAAAACAATACTCCACCAAAGTCTTGTTTGTTCATTACCTTGTTTAAGTTCATATCTTGAATAAGACTTGTTATGTAATGCTAAAACAGGTTATATCTTATTTATGATAATCATAATTCAATTATCGGATCTATGCATCATCCCCAAAAAAAAGTGTAATTTTTACATTATTTTTAATATAGTTTTCACTATGAATTGAACTCTGCTTTTACTATATGTGTGTATGCAGCGTCTGAGGAGGCTAACTTCTGATTCCCCCCCACAGCATACGGCAGTACGAGCTGAAGGAGCACACGGACCTCAACATGAACAAAGTCTACTCAGGAGAGATGGGCCGCCTTAAGAGCTTCGAGGTCCAAAAGCCGTGAGTACTTCAGCCGAGACTCTGCTCATGAAGTCCTACTCACATTTCACCCACTTACATTACCTATTGCAAAGTTTACCAAAGGTCACTTTCTAAAAATGACGCTTTCGCCCCCTAGTGGGACATTTGAAAACCTATTTTCACAGCCTTTAAAGGTCCCATGTCATGGCCATTTCTACTGATCATAATTCCATTGTTGAGGTCTACTAAAATACATTTAAATTGTGCAATTTTCCAAACTCACATTGGTTTCTCATACAGCATCTCTGTATAGTATGTGTATTCACTCTCTGTCCTAAACGGCTTGTTGGAGCTCCTGCCCCCCCCCTCCCTGTGAGCCCAGTGGCCGTCTGCGAGACACCGCGAAACTCAGCCTGGGCACACACACACACCCGCAGCCTGGCTGGGAGTTTGTGTGTGTGCCCAGGCTGAGTTCCGCGGTGTCTCGCTGACCCCACACCAGTGAGCCAGCTCACAGTGTCCCGCTCCTCGCTGCAGCGAGCCTCGCAACGTCCCGCCGAGTGTGTGTGTGTGTGTGTGAGGAAGTCCGCGGATTGGTCCAAACGTAACGGCACTATACCCGAAATACGTCACGATACCCAATAAGTAAACAATGAAAAATGAGAAATCTCCAACGAGGCGTTCTGGGGCAGCATAGACAGGCCTTTTCTGTGTTAGTGTTTTACTCGCTACAGGGTGTACTTTGAGGGTTTGTGACTCTGCAGACCGTTTACATGCATAAAAAGCTACACAACACACAAGGGGACGGGTAATAACCAGAAAAGCATGACATGGGACCTTTAAACAATATTTAATTCATAAGAGTAATGGATCTTTTTAGTATTTTATTAATATATTTGATATCTCTTTTGTGATATTTTAAGTCTTGCTGTTTTATTTACAGGCCCTATGACTCGAAAAACCCTTTCCTGGCCCCAGTTACTGTCAACCGCAAACTCAACAAAGCCGGAGATAGACATCTTATGCATGTGGAACTGGACATAACGGGATCCAAGATCAGGTGAGACTGGTTAGATGTATCTATAATTAAATGCTTGAAAATGCTTTTTCATATCCCTATGATGAGATGATTAATGTTGAGGCTTTATGATCACAGGTCAAAGTCTAATTGTATCACATATGTGCTTTCAGATACGACTCTGGAGACCACGTTGCTGTTTTCCCCACAAATGACTCTGCAATGGTGAACAAGTTGGGACACATCCTTGGAGTGGACCTTGATGTGGTTATCTCTCTCAACAACCTTGATGGTATGGCATTGAAAGCCCGAAGCACGTTGACTTTACTAGCTCGTCCCTGAAACACTGTCACGAAAACCTCCCTTGATATCTAGACTAGCAGTATCACCACACTTAATGCTGATGAATTGTATATTGTTATATTACTGCTAGTGAATGTAATTGCTGTAATATAAGGTGCTGCCTTTTGTTACCAATTATAAGATTCTAGCCCTCATGAAGGTCATCAGATCTGCTTTGTGTGGCATAAGTGAAGAAGCAGCTCCTGTTCAGTTTGAAACAACATTATTGAAAAGGACTAAATAATGAAAGGTTATTACACAATATAATTAATGTTGCCATTCAAGCAATGTTTTAAGTTCCTCAGTCTGCAAGGATATATTAGTTCTGACTCGTATTTCATAACATCGCAAATCTTTTGTTTGACCAAATGTACTCAAGTTTTTTAGCAGGTGTTTTTCATCGAAATTAAACCTGCCCGGACGATTTCCAATTTGATGAGTCAATAGTAGAGTCATGCAGTAATCATAATAATGAGTTAGGGCACTATCACCTGTCATAACAGCTCTGTAATCTGTCATGGCGACATAAAAAAAATGTCATTTACAAAATATAGAGATAAGCTTATGTGACTCGAACACTGAGGTTAACTTTGTGAACATATGTGTATTTTTTGACCTCCCATGAAATACGAGACTATTTAAAGCCTGCTTTTAATAAACATTTATTGCAATAAATAACTAGGTAAACTGAATGTAATGGTAATTAAATAAATTACAAGGTCTATTAAAGTAGAAAGCATTCTCATCACAGATAGAGCAGTAAGTTGTTGGTGTTATGTTCAAATTCAAGTGTTGGCTATAAAAAACATCTTGAGACGATTCTAGATACAAAAAAATGCATCTCTTTATTTATTTTCCAGAGGAGTCCAACAAGAAGCACCCCTTCCCCTGCCCCACCAGCTACCGCACCGCCCTCACTCACTACCTTGACATCTCGCAGCCCCCCCGCACCAACGTCCTCTACGAGCTGGCCCAGTACGCCTCGGACCCCAAAGACCAGGAGAATATGCGCAGGATGTCCTCCTCCTCGCCTGAGGGCAAGGTCAGTGCCAGGTGGTGAAGAGTTGTTGGTGTTGGTGTAATTCTGTGGTTCATGTCAACATAGTACCTAGTACCTAGTCTTTTTTGTGCGGCTGCTCCGAGCACTTTGAATATAAGAGTAGTTCAACTTTTAAGAAAAGGCCGGTGACGTAACTGGTAATGAAAGGAGAAGCTTGTTTTTGACCATGTCTTTCAGGTGGAAAATATATTTAAAAAAGGCCAAAAGCCCTTTTGTAAAAGCAAGACGTTGGTTAGTGTGTATCCGGTTGATGTTCAACTTCCAACAATGTCAAACAAATATATAGCAGCACAAATGGAAAATAAAATCCAAGGGGGCGAAGTACGTCGGTCAACAGCAATGATATGTGGTCGAGATCTGTCAACATAAACAATAAGAAACCGCTGGGAAATAGTTTAATTTGTTTTTAATGAAATGCTGGGTTGAGACTCTTCACACCGCCTTGCCATAAACAGGCTCTAATGCCGCAGTTCCACTACACGGTCGGCCTCGGCCACGCTCGGTACGGCTCGGTACGGCTTGGCCGCGTTGGGCCGACTCACTTCATGCTGCGCTTCCATTACAGTTTAGGAACTGGGGTAGTTACTATAATAACGCAGTGTAGGCGGAGCCGTGACGTCATCTTCAATGAGAACCCCAGAAAAACAACATCAGCCGTTAGCTGTTAGCACTCAGAGCTCACAGCTCCTTATATATGTTCAGAAACTCGACAAAAGTTAAACAAGTACACACCACAGACTGCCTGTGTCATGGTGAATACAGTCGCTGCTTTATTTATGTCTGTATAGGCCGTTGTTGTGAGTGTGGACGGTCGGAGCATATACTGTGTTAGCTTAGCCAATCTCCATCTAGAAAAACACGAATTTTAAAAGGTTTTTCGCCTGCCGTCTGTCTGCAGACTTGTCAAAGCATTAATTCATGGTTTTTACTAACCGGTATCAGTATGTTGTTACTTCGGCATCATTTTGAAACGTGTATTACAATTAAATCACGGTCAAATATGTCCATCTTGTTGTAGTTGTAGCCCTCTTGCCAGCGCTCCTCTCTCTAGTTTAGCATACTCAGCCCGACTCAGCCCTGTTTGTTGGCCCCGATAGAACCACAATTTTGTCGGGCCAGAAAAGAGGTGAAAAAGTGGCCCCGGGCCGGGCCGGGCCGTAACTAGGCCTAGTGGAAGCGCAACCAAAAACGGGTACGGCACGACACGGCACGCTTAAAGCGAGCTCCGCGCTGTAGTGGAACTGCGCCATAAGTGGACACAGGCCCTAAGAGAAACTCTGTTGCATCTCATCCATGTCTGTGAGTTTGTCAACTCTCTCCACCTCTGATTCTTCATCCTATTGTGTTTGTGATGCTTCCCCTCTCCAGGCCCTTTACCACAGTTGGGTGCAGGGAGCCTGTAGGAACATCCTGGCCATCCTGGAGGACATGCCGTCTTTGAGGCCTCCCGTTGACCACCTGTGTGAGCTGCTGCCTCGTCTCCAGGCTCGCTACTATTCCATCGCATCTTCCTCAAAGGTACCTTCCTGTTCAGAACTGTTTAACACTTAATTACTGATATGGTTACCTGCAGCAACAATGCTGTTCATATCAGAGAATTACAGTAGGCAATGCAAGTTTCTTTACATAGCACATTTCAAAAGCAAGGTCATTCGGTGTGCGTTATATGCATTAAGATATAATAAAAGAGGTGACATACTATAAATACATTTAGAAACAGTCATTAAAGAAGCCTGGACAATACGAAACTAGACAAGCTAAACTAGAATAAGACAGAAATAAAAAAACAGAAGACATGTTACAGACAAATGACAAATATGAATAGTTGAATTTAATAGAAGGCAGTGGCAAATAGCAAAGTCTTCAGTCTTAAATATAAAAGTAGTGAGAGTTGCAGCAGACCTGCAGGTTTCTGGTAGTTTGTTCAAGATAAATGGAGCACAATAACTGAACGCTGCTTCAACTTGTTTAGTTTTGACTCTGGGGACAGATGGCATACTGATTCAAGATGACCTGAGAGTTACGAAGAATGATGTAGCAGAATATCAGAACAGTTTGTTCGCCCCCTGAACCATTCATTGCTTTAAAGTAGAGGGCTGTTGGTAACTCTCTCCTGTTCTGCAGGTTCACCCTGACCGCATCAGCATCTGTGCGGTGGTGGTGGAGTACGAGACCCCGACGGGCCGCACTAACAAGGGAGTCGCCACCAACTGGCTGAAGAACAAACTGGTCACCGACAACGGACACAAGTCCACTGTTCCCATGTTCATCCGCAAGTCTCAGTTCCGCCTTCCCTTCAAAACAACCAACCCCGTGATCATGATCGGCCCTGGGACAGGCATCGCTCCCTTCATGGGATTCATCCAGGAGAGAGGCTGGCTCAAAGAACAAGGTGTTTATAGATACGTTCGACGAAGAAGGAACCCAGTAAATTACACAGATTTAATCAAATGTGTGTGTACACCACACTGCCCACAGCAAATATCTTTTTTTAAAGATTGAAGGGTTAAAGGTGGGGTAGGTAAGTTTGAGAAACCGGCTCGAGATACACTTTTTGTTATATTCCATGGAATGCTCTTAACATCCCGATAGCAATGAATATCTTAAGTGCTTTGACAAAAAATCATCTGTGGAAGCCGTAATACTGTAAAAAGTACGACCAATCATTTTAGCCGGCCCGGCTAAAATAACTGGATGGCCTACCTGCCTGTCAGCCTTCCATCTGTGCACAAACTTATCTCGTGCCCTCATTGGTCATGTGCGCGTTCGTGTGTGTTGGAGGAGGGGCTCTGTAAGGAAGTGGCAGATTTTCTCCGGTTGTGTATTTTCAAATTCCAGCGCACTCGAGCCGGTTTCTCAAACTTACCTACCCTACCTTTAATGGGTACGGGCAGTCAGTGCTTTAATGAACTTAGTTCAGTTATTAGCCTGTTTCCTGGTACTCTGAAGACAGACCTTTTTGTTAGTTGAGTAGGAATTGTAAATTGTAAAACAAACTCGATCAGTTAAACTTTTTTTTTAAACGTATTAGAGGAGCTGAATGAAATATCTGAATCTGAAAAATAACCATTGTTTTTTTGTTTCCTTTTAGGAAAGGAGGTTGGAGAAACTGTGTTGTATTTCGGCTGCAGATATAAGAACGAGGATTATATCTACCAGGAGGAGCTGGAGGAAGCGGAGAAGAAAGGAGTTCTAACGCAGCTCAACGTCGCCTTCTCCAGAGACGAGGAGAAGAAGGTAGGACTGCTCTTAGTGTCTCTTAGAGCCGAACGCAACTTCATGTTGTGTTATTCATTCATATTGATCATTTTTTACTTAACAATAGTTAAAAGGTTCTGTTCCTCTGTCTGCATGTGTGAGATACATGCAGGGGTGGTATTATTCATTGAAGTCGGTTGATTCAGTATTAACAGCAGCATGAAAGAAAGTTTATGTTAAGCAACCTTCAGATATGCCTGAAAAAATGCCTGGACTTGTGATTAATAACATTTACATAAAAGGGCTTGTTAAATATCTATGGGATATGCATGCTGCCCGATGCAAAGCCTGCAGCAAATTGATAACGCATCTCACCACAACCTTGATCTTTTACTCAATTATGCTGTGTAAGGTCCTTGCATTTGAGGAAATTAGGCCTGGAAAATCACAGAAAATTCTTTGAATGTGATGTTTCAGAATCTTTTGGAAACATTTTGAACAATATTTCCTCTTTCCATTTTCCAAAATAAAGGTGTACGTGCAGCATCTCCTGAAGAATAGTAAGGAGCATCTCTGGAAGCTGATTCACTCAGACAACGCTCATATCTACGTCTGCGGGTAATTAACACATTTGAACAGCAAAACATTTGCATTTAATGTATTATAAAAGATTGAACTTTCACATACTGCATTTAGTTGTTGAATATTGGAACACTTGAAGTGATGTGGATGATTATTTGTGATCATTTGATTCAAATGGATTGGGAACTGGGGAGGAAATGCTTGCTTAATAATGGAAACCTGCTTTATCTTTGGTGCTTTGGCACCGCCTAGTGGAATAATAAGAATTGTTTTTAATTGCCAGCATTTAGGAATCAAAAGAAAAAGACGTCCACCAAGTTGTAGATGCACTTAGTTGCCGGCTGATAATTACTTTTTTGATTCAAGTGCTAAATACTCCAGTAAATGGAAACAGTATGATTTTTTTTTTTCTCACAAAAACTGATACAACTAAAGGCTAACAATCCTACAATAGATGGATAAACAATATGAAAAAGTAACACCAGAACACCCCTAAAGAGGACTTTAATCTGACGTGATCTTTCTCCTGATCTAGGGACGCGAAGAACATGGCTAAGGATGTGCAGACGGCCCTCCAGGACATCGCGGAGGAGCTGGGAGGCATGACGCGCACACAGGCCACAGATTACGTCAAGAAACTGATGACCAAGGGACGCTACTCACAGGATGTCTGGACTTAAAGAGCCTCAGACTCACTGCTCGAGTGGTTTTAAATGTTCTATTTTTATTGTGTGTCTCGTTTTATCATGACTAAATATAAAACCATTAAAGAATTGTTCATCTCCCTAGTCAAGGGAGCAACAGGTAGCACATGATTGTGAGGCAAACACTACCTCAGCAGGTTTTGTTGATAAACACATTCAGCAGTTTGATCTGTATTTCATAAGTATACTACATTATGTATCTGGGATGCAGCCTGTTTTAGGAGACAAAACTATGGTCTGATTTAAGATCCTCTCATATACATACAGGGATAGTGGTGGTCTAATGGATAGTGAGGTGGGCTGAAGATCGGAAGGTTGTGAGTTCAAATCCCGCCAGGAACACCACCACTAGTGTGCCCTTGAGTAAGGCACTTAGCCCGTAGTTACTCCAGGGAGAATGTCCCTGTGATTGGTAATTGTATGTCGCTTTGGATAAAAGCATCAGCTAAATGAAATGTAATACATGAATCGATTTGTGTGATTGGTTATCAAACATTATGGACATGTAGCTCTGAATGTACATGATATAAGTCCACTGTGAACATGGAAATATTTCAATCGGAAACATAGAAGGTCCTTCAGTTTACCATATTTCTAACTTTAATCTAACTGTTATAACTCCTCAACTGGTAATATTGGATTATATGTGAACATTTGGAGCGTTGTCTGTTCCTGTTGCAAAGAGAGAAAAGGGACGCTTTATACATGATAGGGTGCTAACTTCAGTTTCTTTCAGAGCTCTTCCTGTAGTACTTCGGAAATAACTTTAAATATAATAAATGTTTTAGAACATATATGAACATTTGGTAAGGAAACTTGTTGATATAAGAAACTAGCCTCATTGGTACAATTATGCTAAGTATGCCATTATCTTTGGAAGAGATTGTGCCTGATATGCAAACATTGCTGTTGATTTTAATCAGTGACAGTAAACTTTGGAGAGGTACAAAAAGTGATGCAAATGAAAAGATAATTTATAGAAAAATGCACGTCAGCATGTGCAACTTTCATTTCATTTAATTTCAAACCTTTATTTATCCAGGTTGTATCCCATTGAGATCATTGATCTCTTTTTCAAGGGAGACCTGCTCAAGTAGGTTCCACATGAAACATTAAAAACTTATTTTCCATAAAAGCAGGTCTTTAAAAGTAATGAAAAATGAACTGTAGGTTCCCTGTAATATTTGTAAAATGTTCATTTGAAATGTTGTCTTGGAAATCATATCTGGCCTCCCAAATGGTGGTTGTTTGCAAAGTATGAAATGTTAATTTTGTCTTATCACATTATGCACCACTACATGGAGAAAATGACCGAGAAATATCAGGACAGTTCATGCATCTCCCAGATTCTGTCAGCCGGTGCTCATCTCAATCTTTTTGTGTGAATACAAGGAGTTTGAAGATGTCAGCGGACCATTTGAAGTGCAGCCTGTGCCTTTTTTACACTGCCTTATGTAATAAGTTAGCATATAAAACCCTGACGCTCTACTAACTTGATAACGTGTCTTCGTCTATGCTTTCATTGTGGTAGAAAGTCACTTTAGCCAGTACTGTCACTTATTTGTCATTCCACTTTATGATGTAATTATTTGATATTTTCAAGGCATGCATTTTTTTAATGAATAAAATTGGAATAATTTATTGGCTTTTTTGTGATTAAATAAGGTTGAACTTTATGATTGCATAATTCTTCTACAATCTTATTTACTTTGACATTTTATCTCAACCATCTGTCCGCCATGTTATAAGACATGAGGTTTCAGATCCATCACTCTAATACTCATGAGGCGGTAATGTTGAGAGATTGAATCACACAGAGCTGCAGTGTTTGTTTTAATTGTGTTGTAATCATGAGTGACCTTACCGTCAGCAGCCTGTTCCCAGAAGCCAGCGTAATGATGTATGAGTGCATGTGATCTGAATTAAATCTGTTATGATGACTGACATGATAAAGCCGGTTGTTAGATCAAATCGTTTTCATAAAGCTTTACTTTTTTTGATTTTTTAGAAATAGTTTATTTAATGAAGCACAGGAAAAGGGCAAACCATGTAAGTTAAAAAAAAAACAGTTGCAAATTAAAAACAAAACTCAATCAAATGACTGTGCATCCCAATGGATTAAAGAAAAACAAGAATTTCTGCATTTTAAAGATGTCAACACACTTTTTAAACTTTTTCAAACCCACAAAAGTCAAACGGAAGAGAACCCCAACAAAAGAGGTTGAGAGTCATGCAGTCAGGGTACAGAAGAAAGTTAGACATTGTTAATCATACATTAAAACGAAGAAATGATAAAGAATTGAATAATATTTCAAGTTAACTAAAACAAATGTAATGCTTTTTAGATTGTGATATGACTTTTTCTAGACATAAGCACACATCAAGTACAATTATCTGATCATCTGCCTTTAAGATACAGTACATATTGATGCTTTCATTATTTAAAGGGGACCTATCATGCAAAATGCACTTGTGTACGTCTTTTATACATGAATGTGCCCCCGGTGTTCCAGGGAACTCACCAAGTGTCAGAAAACACAACCCTCTCTATTTTCCTCCATACCCAAATCTCTAAAAAAGGGGCTGCAACGGATCTGATAAAACTGATCCAGATTTGAACACTGTCCTGACGTCAGGACGGAGGCGCTACGGCTATTGGGCCAACTCCACCAATCAGGAGGAGACAGCCACGGCCATTGCCGTTCGAAAGCGCTGGAGACGCTGTAGTACATATGCCAGGCCTGTAAGTGGCGCTGTAGTCTGCCACAAGAGCAGCGAAGAAGACTTCCCGCCCATAGTTACCATGGTTACCCTTCTGTTTATTCTCCGCTGTGGCTTTCTTTCTCCCTCCCCGAGGCAAGCGTTTGCTCCCGCTGCAATGCAATCCCTCCCCGTCGAGGCAAGCACTGTAATTCTCTCCGGTTAGTCCACCAGCAGATGACAAACACCCACCTCTCCGCCTCTTCCAAGGAACGAGGGGACCGTGCGGCAAAGTTTCAGTTTCAGTTTGTTTCGCCGGTCAAGATGTCCGTTAAAGTTTAAATCTTCCAGACAAAATTAGAAAAGTGCCGGTCAAAAGTCTTCTTTGTTATTTATTGAGCTTTAAAACAAATGAATAACGACTCTATATAATAAAACACGGAGGACGGAGATCTTTTTTTCTCCCCCTCTTCTGACAGCCCAGCAGCTGATCAGAGCACGGCTCCTCTCTCCTGCAGGGGGGCGTGGTCAGCAGAATCAGACCCGTAGACAGCAAACAGCACATAGAGCGAAATGAGGCATGGCTAAAATGCATGATCTGTTTGGTATTTTGAAAACAGAAACGTATACATATACCTTATATAGGTATGGCCCTACAATATATCATTTAAATATAGCATGATAGGTCCACTTTAACAATGTTAATAGCGGGCTAGACTTGCATAAACAAGATGATCCTTTAGTTTCTAGGGATAGAAAAGAGTGAATATAAATTCAGCATATTCTTATATACACACGTATATGTGTACACATACTTCAGGTTTCAAGGAAGGATTAAAAAGGTAATTTCCAGGGCAAAAAGGAAATACAATACGAAATCAATGAAAAGCAAAAGGAAAACAATACAAATAAAAAAGGGAAATAAAGTAGAATATTATATTGTTATAAAAAAGGGACAATAAGAAGAAAAGTAAGAACAATCTCACTATTTTCTAGCTACCTCCTTATTCCCGCTGTAAGACAGTAGGTGGCGGCCTTGTGACTTCTCGTTGAATAGGAGCAGTGTTCCCAACAGGAAGAAGAAGAGCAACATTAAGGGAACTGTCGCAGAGTGATCGGCTCAATTCTGTGGCGCTGCGTACATTCAACCAGCGTTTTTATCAGCTAATCAGAAGAAACACACTTCATTGTATTTTAACTATATATACAACGTCACAGAATGGCCACTGGTAAGCCAACATGTCCTTTGTCTGTGTATCATTGTTTGCATTGTTTTTTTTGTATAAACTAGGCTAATAAAAAGTGAAACGAATAGCATAGGAGCTACATTAGCAGTTAACCTCGAGGCCATGGAGGGCTCCGTCTATCTCCTGGAACATCTTTCAATAACAGAACAAAGTTAGCTTTGCCGTGTGTTTGACTACATTTGTTTCCACAAGGGGGTTAACTCCCGTATGACACTTAGCTGTACTCATTTAAAACCCCATGAATGTGCCAACAATCTATAATATGTGTGTACCGCAGAGTGAAAGGGCCTAGTCGTAGTTAGCTTGAGGTGCTAGCATGAACGCGTCTTTGTTTATATCGATGCTTATGTTTTCCTGCCAAACGAGACACGAAACGTACACACATCTAGTTTAAAGATAATTTGGCAATATTTGCATTTAATATGGGTTCATGTAAAGATAATCATGCCGGGTATGGACAGCATGTATACACATTTCGTAGTTTGTCTCGTTTCAAGAGTTAGCCTAAAGCGAATTGACCGCCATTTTTGGTGGATTGGCGTGGGTACGGGCCTTCGGTTGCCCTATTTTCTGCCTTCAAGCTAGCAGTGCATATAGTCACTTTGTTATTTAGCAAGATTCAACCCTGTTTTGTTTCTCTTTCAGATTCAGGCTACGGTGGCTCACAGAGGTAATGACAATATATTATTTTATTTCACTATACTCTGTTCCTTACCTATATTTTGTGTTACAATTGTGGTTAAAATAGTTTTTAGGATAGCTTTTTATAACAGTACTATATTTAGCTCCTTTCTTCATCAACATGTTTTTCTTTGTGTTTTTGTATGCACCATTTTACTCCAAAGCAAATTCCTTGTATGTTTAAACCTTTTTGGTAATTAAACCATTTCTGATTATTTGTATGTTGGTGTTGCAGCAGCACAACAATATAAATAATTATACATGAGCTTCAGATAGCTATATATAGTAACATAAATAAATCATAGTAGGCCCATAAACCAAATTGAATACAAGTTATGCAGGAGCAATTGGAGATAAATTATGGTAGAGTGATTTAAGTGTTAAGTGTTTAAATGGAATATGTTTGGTATATATTGAACTCCTGATTATCTAAACGTAATGGTTTGCTCTATAAAAGGTCTGATATACTTGATGAGACACTTTTTCTAAGCCCGATGTGTTAAATGTCTTTTGTCAGTTTAACACCTTAATATTGTAGTTTACTCTAACATAAAATGGTGACAAAGAGACATTTATTAATTATTTAGTTGGTTATTTTGAATGATCTGCTAATGAAGTTGCATCTAGTATGAACACAGGACATCAGGGTTCAAATAAATGATGTACCCAAGTATTGGTACTCGAGACTTTTTATGACGTCCAAGGAGTGTTGGTGGCATATTTAGTCATTTAAAGCAACACATTCCTCAGTGTTATATTAAAAAAGAAATAGGCTGCAAAATGTGTTGTCACATGACACTGACCTAGTTAGTGGTATGAGGGACCCACAGGCTATTTTAGCCTTCTAGTCTCTTTGTAAGTGAAGTGTTAAGATAGGAAAAATGTAGTTGTATTGCAAACTTGTTCCTTTCCTACCAGAGTAAATAGCATCTAAACTATGAGACAGAGATTAAATGGAGCAGAGAGGCCAATGCTTAGGCTGTCAACGCAGCATGCACTGAATCATTTATTGTTTATTCAAATACATTTAGCATTGATTGGACCTCAACATAACATTTGGCAAATTTCCCCTGAACATTTATACCAACGACTCAATAGAGTTTTTCAATGCATCTCGAACCATTATTTAACTGCGTTTGTCTTCTGTTTTGAAGCTATGGGTCATACGGCGGTCAGCAGAGTGGACAGGTAAGACCCTTCCCCAATTTACCACCAGCCTGTTTGCTGTAATCTTTATAATTCAAATTGTTGTTTTTTTAAAATCATAATCTGAAAACCCAAGCGTTCTGATTGACAGGGTTATGGACAAGGAAATGGACAGAGTTACCCTGGCTATGGACAGCCAGGCGCTGCACCCGGCGCTGCACCAGGCGCTGCACCAGGCGCTGCACCAGGCGCTGCAACACAAGGTACGGTCATGTCTACTGTGTCAATTTGCTGAACAGCTTTGAATAATACATTGCGATAATGCATATTAAGTCATTAAATTCTTGCTCAAAATGTAAACCTTTTTTAGTCTATGAGAATATTTCTGATGGAATTTGTTCAGTTAAATGGAAAGTTGTATATTCATGGTGTTTTCAAAAGTCGTAGTTCAGATGATATTTGTTAATGTGAAGGTATACAAATAGAAAAGTACAATAAATAGAATTATACAATGCATTTGATCTCAAAGAAGTATCTTTCTCACTTGTGAATTGTCTTTGTCAGGAGGCTATGGCCAACCTCCTCCGGAACAGAGCTTTGATACGTACGGACAAGATTCCTCTGGGTAAGACCTTTTCTATGTCACAATAGCTTAGTAACATGCATTCTCAACTATAATTGATGTAGCATTATTGAACAATACCAGAAACGACTAATTAATGACAACTTCCTGTCTTACCGTTCTGATCAAAGATGAAAACGACCAATTGAGACCAATATTTACATCTTAGTTTTTTGCTAACTAACAATTTTTTGCTCAAACCACTTCAAGGTATGGCAACAAATCGTCGTCTTACGGGCAGCAAA